TTCACTTCACTTCACTTCACTTCACTTCACTTCACTTCACTTCACTTTACTTTGAGACAGGATCTTACTAGGTAACTCAGGTTGGTCTTGAACTCACGATTCCCTTGCCTCTGAGTCCAGCTTGCTTGAACGAAGCCTTTGAAGAGAGAGAACAGAGTTATCTGAACAGATTGACTGCTTGAATACTAAGAGCTCTATACCCTCGTACACTACCTGCACTGTGGATTGTGTGGGGTTCATTTTGGCCTCACCAAGAAGTGCTCATGTATCTAGAGTTTTCCTGTCCAAAGACCACTGGACCAATGAGTACAGAGTGGCTCCCAGACCACCCATAATCAGTTAGGGGGGACATTAGAGCTGTTCTTTTCATCACATCAGTGTCCATCAGAGTACAGTGTGAGAAGAAAAATTAGTGTGCAAGGTGACAGAGGTGGAGTTCCTCCGGTTGTTTGGTACCCTCAGGAGAACAGAGAGCTGTGTCCCATGGATGCAAGCAGTGTGCAGTTATAGGCACAGAAAAATAGGGAAAAGGTTGTGAATTGGCTACCAGAGTGTGACAGCTGATTTGGGATACACAGAAAGGGAAGTTAAGCAGTTTTCCTTCTTTCTGTTGGTAATTTTTTGGTTGCTGTTTATGATTCATAGACTTTCTTTAAATAAATGAGTTTCGGTTTTCGCCAGTTGACCATGGCAACAGCAGGTCAATCCTTTGAGCCCTGCAGCTCTGTCCTCCTTTTCAGGGATATTTAGACTGTCTGCTCATGCAAATGTTTGTGCAGAGAACATTTTGGACCAATTGCCCTGGTAGTGGGATCCCCTGAATCATGCTTGCTTACATGCTATCACTTTCAGTGTCACAAATTCGAGTGCTCAAACAGCAGAAATATGTTCCTTCACAGTTTTACAGGAAATCTAAAATTCATGTGATATAGGCAGACTTGAATCTTTTGTGGGTGCCCTGAAGAAAATCTAAGAAAGGAAAGGGACACCAGGAAGCTCAGTATTCAAGATAAATAATTGCTTTGTGTTATTATTAAAAACAAGCCAAGGACTGGAGATCAGTCCTTGTATTTCCAAGGATCTGAGTTCAATTCTTAATACCCAAGTAGGGAAGCTCGCAGCCACGTGTAATTCCAGTTCTAGGAGATCTGATGTCCTGTTCTGGTCTCCAGGGGCACCTGCACTCAAATGCACAATACACACACACACACACACACACACACACACTACACAAGAATATTAAAACTAAAAATAAACTTAAAATAAATCTTTAAAAAAAACCTACAACCCAGGCCAGGTATGCATATGTAATCCTGGCATTCAAGAGGCTAAGGAAGTTCATGAATTCTAGGCCAGTCTGGATTACAGAGTAAGAACCTATCTCAAAAACAAAAGAGATAATCAAAAAACTTGGCAAGCCTCAGCCCTCAATTCATACCTGTTTGTGTGCAGAAAGTTATGTTGCAACTGGAGGCAGGCTGAGGGTAGCAAATGAGGTTTTGTTCTTACTAAAAATTCTTTTTTTGATCATCATGGATTTTCATTGACCAAGTTCTATTTTCGGAGTCCCCTAACATTTTTACAGTTATGGCATGTGTCTGCCTAGCCTCAACTGGATCAGGCTCTACTTCCTCAAAGTGAGTCCATGTAGTTTCCTGTCTGGAATGC